GTATGCTAGTTCTGATTTTCAATCAGAAGTAGATACTATGAGGTTCATGACTTAGTGTATGTTCACTTAATGGAAGGGAAATCAGTTGGTAGATTGTCAAGCAGATTTCAACTGTTGACTCAAACCTGCAGGTGGAACATATTGCAGCCTTAAAGGTGGCAATATAAGCCTATTGGTTTGATCTCACTGATTTAGAGGTTGTGGAGCATACTAGCCTGCCTATCGAGCTATATTGTGACAATAGTGCAGAAGTAGTCCAAACCAATGACCCAAGGTTCCATAGAGGAACAAGATACACTGAGAGGAAGTATCATGTTCGACATGATATTGTCCGGCAAGAAAATGCACTTGTAGTTAAAACATTGCATTGGAACACAACTTTGTTGATCCATTATCAAAGGTGTCATTGATCAATAATTTTGAGCATCATCTGGATAACATTGGAGTTAGGTGCAATTTGAATTGGCTATGAGGGCAAGTGGGAGCTGTTGGGATTTATATGCCCTGGCATAGCAAATTCCTATCTGGATTGTATTGACATATGTTCCTGACATATCTAAAATATTTATGATTTATATAATTAGTGAATTCAATGTATTATGTTTCAATTCACTATGAAATTGATAGTGTCCAGTTAATTACAAGAAATATTTATATATATGTATGTGATGACAATCAATGCATGATATATAAATAGTAATTATAAATTGTTCATAGTCGGTAATTATGGATGGACTCATAATTAATTAAGACTTGAACTGGATCTGCGTTAGGTTGAGATATATTGCGAGAGCCGTCGTATGCAATTACTCCCTATCACTGTCATGGCATGTGACTCTTAAGCATGAGAAAAGTATAGACTCTTTTATTAATTAATAATTACTTTGATTTGTTCGGCGGATTCTTCGGGATCCTTAGACCGACACTTTGGGTAGTTATGTAATTAATAGTTAGAGGGTTATATTTTCAATATTTGCATCATTGCTACTTGTATTTATTTTGTATTGATTATGGTTGATCACAAAGTAAATTCGAAGGCCTTCGTGTGTTTTTAGACAAAATGATTTATTATATATTTATTTATTTAAATTATTATTTTTGTCAAACAAATGTTTTATTGTGATCGAACCAGAAATAATCAAAGGTACCAAAATAAATATATTAATTAAGTAGTCGGATTGATGGCTATATTTATCCGATAACTAATTATGCATAGAGGGGTCAAAGTGCAATATTGACTTAGAGGTTATTTATTATTTAATTGGAGTTCAATTAATTTCTTTTAGTGGAGTAGAAATTAATTTATGAATTAATTGAATTGGGTCCATGGACCGGGCCAATTATTAATTCATTGTAGCCAATAAAATAATAGGCCCAATGGATTCTCACTCATAGCCCAACTTGATATTGGAATCATATTAGATTTGAGACATATGAATTAGAGATGGAGAAGGATTTGTTGTTTCCTTTTCTTTATTTTTATGTTGCCTATAAATATACATGGTCTATATATATTTTAGGGTGTGATTTTTATGAGAAGGAAAAAGGAATAAATTTTCTCTCTCTCTAGAAAATTAGGGTTTATGTTCTCATCTAATGGAGGCTCCCACAAGCCTAGTTTTCCAAGGTCATTCATGGGGGCATATGAGTGATTCCTAAAGGCAAAATAATTACCAAGAAGATGGAGATCCAAGGAGAAGGCATCTTGCTAAGGGATCTACAATAAGTGAGAACATTCACTTTAGAGGAAAGTTTTAAAGGTTTACTCAGACCTTTGATGTAAGTATTCAATCCATTAATTGAATGATACATCATATTTTTATTTTTGCATAAAACTTGTCTCTATGTGATGAATCAAGATCTATGAATCAAAATCCCTCGAAAAGTTTTTAAAAACTTGCACGTTTCCCAACAAGAACTTCGGGTAACACTGTTCTGACTGCCCTTATATTAGGAAGGTGAGAAGCTGAACTACTTTTGCTTGACAGTTGGCTTTAAATTTTGAATGTCATTGGTGCTGAATGAAGTTCACACTATATTCCTAGAATTGATATTGAGTTCCCATAGATTTAGTTTGATAAAGATACTGAAATCATGTTAACAAATATAAATTGAAATTGAAAAAGAAGAACGAAAATTTTGCTGCTCGTCCTGATATATTGGGGATTAGTTTTAGTAATTGTGTCCTTGACGTGGAAAGACTCGTAACTATGTAAAAAAAAAAAAAAAATGACTCCAGCAGCATCATCAAATGCTCTTTATTATGCTATTAACACTAATGTGATTTGAGATTGAGACATCTGTTCTCTTGTCTGCTGCTATCATGACTGCCTTGACCATCATCCATTTTTCAATGATAATCCTGATTTTGTAATACAGAATCTCCCTGAGATGGACCTAAGCTCATCAGGATGATATGATACACAAATGAACATTTTTGCAGATTATCATTACTATTATCATTATTATTATTATTATTTTAACACCCTTTTCTAGCTTTCTGTTCTCAGGTTAGGACCTAGGTTTACCGTCCGCTTAGCTAGAGAAGCCATTTTTGAAAAAATTAAGGTCAAGAGCATCACAGGACCTCTACTCATGTGCATTCGAAATTGATATGTTCAGAAGGTTATATACACTTTTAGGTGCATACTTCACACAAATCTAGTGTTAGGCTTGTTCACTCAGTGTTTGGATATCCCCTACAGCAGAATCAGTTCTTTATATCGAGATCGGTGGCTGTAAATGCTTGTAAAGTGCGGTCCATGGTTAAGTTCATGAATTGAAACATCTAATTTGTGGGTCCGTCAATCTGCAAATTGGAGAGGAACTCTGCTGAACCATCAAGATTTTCTATAAAAGCAATAATTTGTGCAGAAATTTTTCCTAGTACTTTTCCCTCTAGGGTAGCATCGTCAGAAGATGTCATTTTCCCTACAGTGCTTTGCTTTAGTGTTGACTGAGGAAATTGGGCCCCCGTCAAGGATCAAGTTCTTTGATTGGATGAAACCTCTCTTAAGTCTTTTCCTAGATATTTTTCCTCATTTAATTTTCAAATGAAAAATAAAATAATTATTAGGTAAAGGTTCATTTGTCTATGGTCTTGGCTTTCTCTTTTAATTTTTTTCTTTGGACTGTGTTGGTTCTAGGCTGACTTTTAATTTGGTGAGGTCTGAAGCATAAGATCCTCAAACAACCTGGTAACTGGGGCCATAATTATATGAAGGGTGGGGACTCAGTTGAACATCTTCTCTTTAATTGTGAATTTGGTCGGTCTGTTTGGAAATGGTTAGCAGAATTCTTCAAGTTGAACTGGGGCCATAATTATATGAAGGGTGGGGACTGTTTGGAAATGGTTAGCAGAATTCTGGTTTATGTTTAACACCCAACACATCTGGTAAATTTACCTCAATTTGGTCCCAAGTTTGATGCTTTATTTACCAACCTGTGCTAATCTTCACCTCTCTCATTCTCTAGCACAATTTTCCCCATGATGACCATGGATACCCTGACATAATCATATTCTCTCTTTCAATTTTGTCTAATGCTCCTTCCTTCTACAGGACCATGCTAATTGCTAATGCCAGGGACTCTCGAGCTGTACTGGGCAAACGGGGAAGAGCAATTGAACTATCTAAAGACCACAAACCCAACTTCACATCCGAAAAACTAAGAATTGAGAAACTAGGTGGTGTTATTTATGATGGTTATCTTAATGGCCACTCGGGAGACTGGCACATGAAGGGACCAAAAGGTTCAATCTACCTCTGAGCCAGAGTTGGAGGAGGTTGTTTTGACAGAGGAAGACAAGTTTTTGATAATGGGCTGTGATGGCCTGTGGGATGCGATGAGCAGCCAATGTGCAGTAACAATGGTGAGGAAGGAGCTCATGTTGCACAACGACCCTGACAGGTGCTCGAGAGAGCTTGTCAGAGAGGCGCTCAAGCACAACACCTGTGACAACCTGACAGTTGTGGTGGTCTGTTTCTCCCCAGACCCTCCCCCTCGAATCCAAATACCTAGATCTCATAGGAGGAGGAGCATATCAGCTGAAGGGTTGGATCTCTTAAAGGGCGTCCTGAATAATGTGTAAGAAAAGAATTGTTCAACGGCTTGTACAGACATGACTGGAGTTGCTACTAGCAGTGGGGATTTTTCCTGAGTTTCTTCTGCCCCTCTTCGCGGTTGGACATTGCTGATTCTAGAGTCAAAAAAAAAATCATATGCATCCGAGTTCTGTACGATTTTGAAGCTTGGGAGTAATGATTTTTTTGATCCTCAGTGTCAGTAGATTGTAAAATTCTTGTTATCACTAACATTAGCATGTAATCTCATTGTTATAATACTTCATTTGCATTGATGAGAAATGTTAAGAGATTAGGGCACAAGCAATGCAAAGAAAACTTGAAAAAAGGATGTGAGTCATGGAATAATATTATGATAAATTGACAATGCCTCTTATGTAGTTTATTTTGGCAACAGAGCTATCAAATGAATTGTTTGTTACTTGTTTCACTCTCTATTTTCATGCCTTGTTGCACTAAAAGTCCCTCTATATATTCACCTGCTGTGGAAGTCAGTCCAAACACATCCTTACTTTATATATATATATATATATATATATTTTCCTTCTTGTCCATAAAATGAGATTTTATTGACCAAAAAATAAAAAACACATTCACATTCTACTTTTCTTCACTTGCTTTTATATAAGAAATAAATTGACAATCTGAAAAACACATTCACACGCCCACAAGTGACAAGAAAAATACAATTGCACCCCACTTTGAGGGTTAAATTTGTCACTTCATTTCATTATTAATTTTAAATCAGTGAAAAGTTGAATCTTTCCAAAGGGGAAAAAATAAAAAAATAAAAAATCAACTCCCTTTTTTATTCTGAAACATCTGATCCAGCCCATTGGGTTGAAAGGTGTGGTTGTGGGGAAACCATTGACCACCGAACCATAGGCCCAAAAAAAAACATCAAGAACCCAAACATTTTCTATTTTTCGTTTTTTTAACTCACTCCATTTTACACACGCACACTCTCTCTAAGCTATGGCGACGCTGAAAGAGATCTTAACCCGGAGGCCGGTGGCGGCGACGATCAGGCTCACCGTCCCAGCTGGAGGAGCTCGGCCAGCTCCGCCAGTTGGACCGGCGCTGGGTCAGTACAGGCTTAACCTAATGGCTTTTTGCAAAGACTTCAATGCTCGGACTCAGAAATACAAGCCGGATACGCCCATGGCCGTGACCATCACTGCTTTCAAAGATAACACCTTCGAGTTCACCGTGAAGTCTCCGTCGGTCACTTGGTACCTCAAGAAGGCCGCCGGCATTGAGTCCGGCAGCAGCCGACCCGGCCACGACATCGTCTCAACCCTAACCCTAAAACACATTTACGAGATAGCCAAGGTAAAGCAATCCGATCCCTATTGCCAGTACATGTCTCTGGAGTCTATTTCCAAGTCCATTATTGGCACTGCTAACACTATGGGGATCAAGGTTCAGAAGGACTTGGATTGATCAAATTTTCTAGAAGTGTTCGTTTTTCAATCGAATGTTATCTTTTTATTTTAATCTTGAAATGGTTCTGTAGCATCAGAGAACATGTTTGTTTGTTGTGATCTCAAAGAACATGATTTGCATATATATTTGTTGTTTCTTGATGAAAAGTTAAATGTCTGAATGTGTCTTTGGCTAAGAATTAACTGGGAAGTGAAATGGTGTGTGGAAAACGAAATATAAGCTTATCAGTGACCTCATTTTTCTTAAGCAATTTGCTTTCCTTTTAGTCAATTCTTTCTGGAAACCAAATATTAAGCAAATGAAGCACGTGATTGGGATAATTGTTTTGTAGATCAATTTATATATCATCTGCTGCTGTTGAAAGACATATAGGGAAATCTATATATTATATCAATTAATCCTATGAAGAAACTATTTTAAACCAGAGAATTGCTTAAGAAAGAGGGATCCTCTAATACATGAATTTCTTAGTTGTTATGGAGCTTGTGTTGCTATGACCTGTTTAGGAGTGTATATGGCGTAACCAGGTATTAAGATGGGTTACTACTTAATTTTTTAAGTCTGAAGTGTTGCTTAGATAATTGTGAGTTGTGATAATGAAGTGAGGTGATGGAAACTTGGCAATTTATTGAACAACTTAGTGGAGTGCAGAACACAATGTAGGTGAGTTGGTTGAGGTGATAGCTCTAGAACTACATCTCAGGTTCAACTCTTTCTAGATATACTCAATTCATGTAGTTTAGAAATGATTGTGTGTGTTTTTTAGGAGTTAGTCTCAACTACATAATTGTGACACCCTTTGCGTAACCAGAAAATAAAAACCAGGCTGTGCATGATGCTAGATTTTCAATATGTTGTTGGAGTTTATAGCATTTTGGATCTCATTTTTTGTGCTGGATTGTGTTACACACACGAAAGAACATAATGAACCTCCATAGCACAGGTGGCACAAAATGTCACCGTCTAGCTTTCTAGTTTCAAAAGTTGCTTACAAAATACCACTATGTTTTAACTCACCTGGGGATTATTTTAATTGAATAATATTGATGTATTATTGTGAGGTGAACTGCATGGCATGTGAAATTATTAGATAGTCCTGGACCATGAGGTTAAGTCCAATTGAAACTCTCCAACTTAAGGAAAGTGGACTCATAAGAGTTCAATAAGATATTACAAAGAAACTTAAACATGGTTTTTGGTTTGATTGGACCACCAAGTGACCTATGGTTCAAAACCAACTAATAATTTCTCCTGCAAAAAGGTGTAAAATCAGTTGGCAGTGAAGGGAAAAGTATTTTAGTGGATATATGAGCTGGTTTTAATTAAATACCCTTAACACTGCTTGTGGGAGCATTTAATACACGACTTAGGATAAGAATTGAAGACTATTTTAGTTCAAACGTTAAACCAGGTTTCTGAATTCCAATTTTCAGATGTGAATTTCATCTTGTGAAATGCAACCATCCTGTTTGTTTTGTGTATGTAATGGAATTCAGGAATGATATCTAGATATTAACAATGAAGTATGATAAGAATTTAGATTCAACAGTCAACGTGGCAAGCTTTCAATCTTGTAAAAATCGAGTTGTAAAAGAACACTGTTGAGGTCTTAGAAAGAGTGGACAGAAAAGGGAATACGGTCGAGGTTATGGCTTTAAAGCGGATGACAGGATTTTGTAAAATAGAGAAGGTGAGAGTTGGGCATTGCTATGCTCTCCCGATATGGACGCATTTCTATGGTCACTCTTGTATGTTTTATGAAATGAAAGTTTCTGGGATCGGCTGGAACTTTGTTGCATAGGATATCTTAATTAGCGAGTTGTGTTCTGGAGGCAGGACATGAGATGGTTCTAAGACGTGGAACTAGTATAGGAGAGTAGTTCTGGTTCTGGGGGTCGTATTAGTCCTTATAACAATGTCATATATGTGGCCATGTGGGTTCTAGAAGGATTGCTGCTTGATGAAGCCCCCATATTTGTAATTAAGAAGAGAGCTGTTAATAGAGGCTTGAGGATGGTTTCAGTGAGGAGATCATATTGAGGATGCAAAGAGGTTTGCAATCAGATGATTTGGGTAGGGGCTATTTCATTTTCCATGTGCTCTTGTTTACGTCAGTTTCATTTGAGGAATTGAGCTGATGAATGAGAAGGCTGGCCATGATTATTTTCCTGTTTCATCAATGTTGTTAACCTTGAACAGTGGGCTTGGCAGCCAGGGAAAAGTTGGGAGGACATCAGAACTCATGGACATGGTTAAAAGCTACAGTTTGATCGATTCTTCTTGTAGGAACAAGGTGTCCCAACATTCTACAAATGTTGGAGAAGGGTATTATTTCAGTCATTTTAAGAGATCTTGCTTTGTGTTCAAGAAACGAGATTGATAGAAGGCATGAATATTTTATTTGTAATTAGCCTCTTACAATGGATTTCTTGATGCCTGTCTTAGGTTATTCGTATTCAATTGATAAGTGTCAACCCAGTGATTGCTTAAATTAGTGAAATTCTTAAAACTGAGGGGGGATGTTTCTGCTCTGTTGTTTTTAATTTGCTTTCAAGATTTGGAATTCATTTTGTTTTTATTTGGAGTGGGTTGGCTCATCTAGAACCTGTTCCTGACTTTGAGTTGCTAAATGACCAGAGTCGAGATCGTTTTCCTTATATGATTAGCATATGAAAGTAAGAAGCTTAGCAGTTCAAGGTCGAAATTAAGTAAATCTAGGAGGGATGTTAAGAGTGGAAGATTAGGAAGAGGACGAGTAAAATTTCTCTCCAGCAATCTATATTTTGCCGTGTACTGGAGATAACTGAGATCAACTCAGCAGCAGGCGAGATCAACTGCTGGATTGATCTCAGCCCTTTTCAGTGCACTGTGGAATACAGGTACACTGGAGAGAATGCTGATTCAAAGAGGACTCAAGTTTTATTTTCCGCGTACTTAAAATGGTTGCTTTCTGACTTTGAACCTCAATTATAAACTAAAATCTTCTCCATTGCATTGTTGCCTTATGAAAAACAGTGGGAATTACTTTACAATGAATCTCACATTGGTGGATTTAATTCAAATATAAAAGTTTAGCATGTGACATGGAAATACCATACTTGAAGAGAGAGAGATGCAATGTGTAAGGAGAATGATGAAAATGGTACTTAAAATAATCTTCGTTCTAACAATGGTAGCTTTCATCCCCACGAGGGCCCTAACTAGCTCAACGTCCTCCCACTTGCCAAATTGATTGAACAACCCATAGTGACAAATTACAATCACAATCAAAGGTAATGTAGAGTTGTAGACACTTCTTTTATTGGGTATCAATCATCATTCTTTTGCTCTTCATCACGTCAGATTTTTTTTGTTGTATACATAAAATTGCTTGAAAATTTTAATCTCTCTTGTTTTGTTTGTTGGCCTTTCTGTTTGTGTTGTTTATATTCTTGTTTTACTAATCTTACAAATTCTCTTTTATAAAAATAAATAGGTTTTATTTATTTGTAATATAGATATGATAGTTTAGATTATGAGTTTGTTCCTATATGGGGGTCACAATCCCCATTTCTTGATGCCCGAGTTACTGTCTTGGGATATTCGTATTGTCAACACAGTGATAGCTTAAATTAGTGAAATGCTTGAAACTCAGACGGGATATTTCTGCATTGTGATTTATCTGCTTTCGTGATTTGGGGATTCATTTTGTTTTTGTATTTGTTTGGAAAGAATTGGCTCATCTAGAACCTGTTCCTGACTTTGAGTTGCTAAATGACCAGAGTGGAGATCGATTTCCTTATATGATTAACATATGAGAGTAAGAAGCCTGGCAGGTCAAGGTCATGATAAGTGACTCTAGGAGGGCCGTTAAGAATGGAAAACTGGGAAGAGGCCGACTAAATATTCTCTCCATTAATATGTATTTTGTGGTATACTAGAGATGACTGAGATCAACTCAGCAACAGGTGGGATCCACTGTTGGATTGATCTCAGTCCTTTTCAGTCCACTGTCTGACTTTGAATTTCTATCATCGAATTGTCAATTTGAATAACTGAAATGGAATTACTCTACATTGAACTCCACAGAGCTGGTGGGGAGATCCCGTCATGAAGTTTAATTCGAATATAGAAGTTTAGCATAATAGATTATCATAGATTTGGCATAGGTTTGTGATATTTGTGAAATTGATTGAACAACCCATAGTCACCATCACAATCAAAGGTAATGCAAACACTTATTTTATTAGGTATCAATCATCATTTTTTTTTATTCTTCACCACCTTAGATGTTTTTTCCGATTTGGCAGTGCTGCTTGCAGCAGTGGTCTCAATGGATAATATTGAATGTGCCCTTGTAGCTGAATGTCTAGCTTTGTAGTTTGCCATCAATTTGAAGGTTGGAGGAATGTTGTTTTTGAGAGTGATGCCCAGGTTGTATATTCGGCCCTATAATGGACATTAAGAATTTATTAGTTTCTTCATTTGATGTGTGTCTCCTCTCTTATGTCCGTAGAGAAGCCAATAACGTGGCTCATGCATTGGTTAATTTGTGTGTAGGGAGACTGGAAGGAAAGTGAATTCTCTCCCCCTTCTGTGGTCCTACAATTTGATCAGGATTATAATATTCGATTATTGCAATGAAATTTTTTTATCTTTGCCAGGTTATAAAAAAAAAAAAAAAGCATGTATTTTTAGTTGCATATCCGAAAAATATACTGTATATGATTCTGATAATGAAAAGTATCTCTTATTATTCTGATCTCCTCTATCCTATTTAATTCCAATAATCATATGTTTTGTTTAGACTTTAAAATCTCCCATTTCAAAGCCATCCACATATTTTGTCGGTGATCTAAATGCAATTTGCACTAATTTTCCTCTCTTGTTTTGGGTTTTTCAAAAACAATTCTCGACTTGATTAATATCATAATACCAGCAGCCCCATCTCTCTCTCTCTCTCCACATATTACAATACAGAAGAGAGAGAAGACTAGTGCATACCATCCTGTTCTCTCATTTGCATTTGTCTCCTTCAGCAAAACCGTCTCCTATCAAAGAAATTACCTAGTTCCACATTCCCTTATCCTCTCCACTCCTATTCTCAACACACAAAATTCAATCACAGCAGGGCCGCCCCCCCCCCCCCCCCCCCCCCCCCCCCCCCCCCCCTCTCTCTCTCTCTCTATATATATATATATATATATATCTCACAGGACACCATGGGATTTGAGAAAGAAGTGTGCTCATCCTCTCATGTGCTCCAAATTCCACGTCTATCCAGAGAGGACACTCCACTCCTCTCCAAATCTAAACACCTCTCCACCCAATCCAAGACCTTTGCAAACGTTTTCATTGCTATAGTTGGCTCAGGTGTCCTTGGCCTCCCCTACACCTTCAAAAGGACAGGTTGGGTCATGGGTTCACTCATCCTCATCTCGGTTGCCTTCCTCACATACCACTGCATGATGTTGCTCATCCACACTCGTCGGCGACTCGAATCCCTCCACGGCTTTGCCAAGACCAAGATATCCTCCTTCGGCGATCTGGGTTTTGTTGTCTGTGGCCCCGTCGGCCGCTTCTCCGTTGACTCCATGATCGTCCTCTCCCAAGCCGGTTTTTGCATCAGCTACCTCATTTTCATTGCCAATACCTTAGCATACCTTTTCAATTACTCTTCAATCAATCTCAATCCCACAATATTGGGTTTTTCACCAAAGTCATTCTTCATCTGGGGTTGTTTTCCCTTCCAATTGGGATTGAATTCGATTCCGTCGCTGACCCATTTGGCCCCTCTGAGCATTTTCGCCGATGTAGTCGATATCGGAGCAATTGGTGTGGTTATGGTGGAAGATGTGTTGATTTTTCTGAAGCAGAGGCCTGTTTTGCAAACATTTGGAGGGTTCTCAGTGTTCTTCTACGGTATGCGTGTGGCGGTTTACGCATTCGAAGGGATTGGAATGGTTTTGCCACTGGAATCAGAGATGAAAGACCGAAGCAAATTCGGGAAAATTCTGGGTTTGACAATGGCTTTCATTTCTTTCATGTACGGAGGTTTCGGAGTTCTGGGTTACTTTGCATTCGGTGAAGAGACCAAAGACATAATCACAACCAATTTTGGGCAGGGTTTCGTGAGCAGTCTGGTCCAGCTAGGTCTGTGTGTGAACCTGTTCTTCACTTTCCCATTGATGATGAACCCTGTTCATGAAGTGGTTGAGAGGAGGTTTTGCGAGGGCAAGTACTGTTTGTGGCTGAGATGGGTTGTGGTTTTGGGGGTGAGTTTGGTGGCACTTTTGGTGCCCAATTTTGCAGATTTCTTGTCTCTGGTGGGGAGTAGTGTGTGTATAGTTGTGGGTTTTGTGTTGCCTGCTTTGTTTCACTTGACAGTGCACAAGGATGAGTTGAGTAGGAAAGGGTTGGTGTTGGATTTGGCAATTGTGGTGTTAGGGTTGATTTTTGGGATATCAGGAACATGGTCTTCTCTACTGGAGATTTTTGCAGCCATGGATTGACCAACATTTTTTCTTTTTTAATAATTTTTATTTTAATTTTGATAAAATGCATTTTTTGCACTGTTTAAAACGAAAGATCAATTGTAAAGAAGTGTTTGATTTAATTTATGACTACAATAAAAATACTGAGTAAAAAATTGTTGACATATAATTTATATTTCTATCCACACCAAACATACAATTCATATTTCTAAACCCTAAAGAAAAAAAGAAATACTTGATTCAAAAACGTGCCTACTAAATCAGTGGCATATTGGACTTTATGTAAAAATATTGTGGGTGTTTACAATTGTGGTCATTCTATTGGATTACAACTGTTTAAGGAACTTTTTTTTTTTTTTTTTTTTTTTTTTTTTTTTTTTTTTTGGGTTCACGAGTTTGTAATATTGTTGTATATAGTACTGAGGAGGCCCAGGACGACATGGGCCGAATCTGACTTGCAAGCACGACATTCGGTCCGTACAGCTGGGTCGGCCCATAAAAAGACACTGCCATATGGGCCGAACGCAAATAAGCCCATCAAAGGCGACCAGGACTTATGGAGGAACAGGCCCAGATCCAGCAATCCGTCAATATTTGTAAATATCTATAAATAAGGGAAGGAATGAAAAGAAGAGGGGGATCTTTTGGTTGAAGTGTAAGAATTCTAGAGAGAGAAAGTGGGGATGAATTTCTTGCATCTTCAATTGGCGCCGTCTGTGGGAAACGCATGGAAGTTTGGTTGATCAATGAGGAATATCGAGTGGATTCAGACCAATTCGGTTGATCGAGACTCGATCTTTGGGATTTGGATCCAGATCTGAGCGATTGTGACCTACTCTGGAGGAATTACAATTCTTGAAGCTTTGGCGGAAGTGGCTTCAGATCTACGCAACAACGAGTTGTTCGATTGTGGCGGGATCTGACGGATTTAGAGTTCAGACAATTCAGATCTCGTAAACGGTGAGCGTAATTCGGAGAATTCGAAACCAGATCTGAAAAATTCCCACTCACGAAGCTCAGATCTACTCGCGAACTTGAGATTAATGCCTTTACTCCGTTCAGGAATAATGATAGGTGAAAGCTCCAATCCGATGGAGGCTGTCCAGCAAACAAAGCTTGAGGAGTTGATGAACTTGATTGAGGCTCTCAAAAAAGAGAATGCAGAATTGAAAGCTGGAATGCAACATCGGCAAATACCTGCGGTTTCGTATCCACTTCCGGTCGGTGAAGGAGGTGTTCAATCTAATATCGCGCGTCAAGGCGAACAGGACGAGAGCAATCAGTCAGCTCACCACCGTGATGAAAGGATGATGGACAATTTGCCGCCAAATGTTCGTCGAGTTGAAGATCACGAAGGATCGACTCACGTTGATCCGCATCGGGAAAGGTTCGACCGAGAGGAAATGATAGAGGTTGATCGCCGTCGAGTAGCGTCGCCTTGGCAAAGAGAGTTCATAGAGGAACGGTCGTTCGATCCGTCTTACCGGCCCTCCATGGCTACTATCACTCATCGCGGTTCGGAGGGCAGAACCGTAACTCACAGAGCAACCGCTGGACTCCAGAGAGAGAATGAAGCTCTCCGATCCGCAGCTCGGACGGTTGATTCACCATTCACCGACGAGATCTTGAATGCCCCGCATCCAAGGAAGTTTGCTATGCCAGTCTTTATTCTGTTTGACGGAACAACCGATCCGATCGATCATGTGTACCATATCCAGTTGAAAATGGCCCTGAATACGGAAAACGACTCTTTAATGTGCAAATGTTTCCCTACAAGCCTGGCCGGACCGGCGCTCAGCTGGTTTAAAAACTTGCCTAGGAGCTCCATTGGTAGCTTCAGAAACCTGTGCGATCGGTTCATAAGCCAGTACTATGGGAACAAGCGCCCGCCGAAGGACATCTCGAGCCTATTCACGATGAGGCAGCACAAAGATGAACGTCTCCAGGCTTTTCTTACCAGGTTTAATCTCACTAAGAGTATGGTGATCGAATGCCACCCTTCTACAGCAGTTCAAGCCTTCAAGTTAGCCATGACATGTGGAACTCCGTTTCACACCAGTCTGGTAGTGAACACGCCGACTACTATGGATGAACTCAATGAAAGAGCCGATGGCTTTGTGCGCCTAGAAGAAGAGGAGGCAGCTAATGCTCGGACAGCGTCGCTCGTGTCGACCGAGGAAAAGTCCAAGGCAAAGATCAGGCAGAAGCAGGCTCAGCCGCAACGTCAGACCTCTTGGAAGGCAGAAAAAAGGTCCAGGGAGGAAGAGCTGATTACTCCGCTGAAGGTCACTCTGGCGAGGCTGTATCAGGAGAACAAAGATAAGTTTCATCCACCACTGCTAATTAGGCAACCCCTCGAACAGAGGGATCAAACTAAACATTGTGCTTTCCATTCCGATTTCGGTCATCAAACTAACGAATGCAGGAACCTGAGGAGGCAGGTGGAGATGTTGATAGCTAGAGGGGAGTTCGCGAGTTATGTTCAAGGCTCGGCGATAGAGCAGAATCGACCGGTGGAACAAATAAAAAGGAGTCATAAACAAAGCTCCCACAATTCACAACCAGTTCGTATAATCAATGCTATCCATGGTCGACCCGAGCCTAGTGAAGAGTCAGATGAGTTACTCCGGGCGCGCCTGCGGCAGGCGCAGATGAAGAAAAGGGTCAGCAGTGTGAATACTCTACACCAGCAGAGCCCGTCGATGCAGATAAGGTTCGACCGGACAGACCTGCAGCGTGTTCAACTGCCCCATGAAGACCCGTTGGTAGTCAGTTTAACAGTGGCGGACTGCTTGGTGCGCAGAGTTCTGATCGATCCTGGGAGCAGTGCGAATGTCATGCCGAGGGACACATTTGATAGGCTCGAGATTAAACCAGAGAGGCTCAAGCCCACTGGAAATCCCTTGTTAGGGTTCGATGGGAAGAGGGTGGAGCCCGTCGGGATGGTGGAAGTGGAAGTTCAAGCTGCAGAACGAGCTCTTATGGAAACTTTTGTGGTTGTAGAAATTCACCCCTCGTATAATCTCCTGATGGGAAGAGGATGGATTCACAGAGTCCAAGGTGTACCCTCAACTCTGCATCAGGTCATGAGGTGCCTCGGACCCGATGGAGATAAAGTGATAGACATTCGGGGGGATCAGGTCGCAGCCAAAGAGTGTTATTCCGTCACACTAAAGCATGCTGGGAAAGGGAAGGCGCCCGTCCGTTCGGCAAGCCCCAGATAGCAATTACAGGAACCTCCGCCCGAGCAGAACAGGGTGGAGGAGTCAGTCGACTTGACCGGGGAGCCCCTTCTGGATGTGCAGATCGATCAGTCCAGGCCAGAACGAACTACCAGAGTAGGTATAAGACTGACCAGAGAAGAGCAGCAAGAGCTAGTGGATTTCTTGTCCCACAATGCCGACGTATTTGCATGGAGTCACCTAGACATGCCTGGAATTAGTCCCTCCGTGTCCTGTCATTCCCTGAATGTCAATCCCAATTTCAAACCAGTGAAACAGAAGCAGCGAAGATTTGCTCCAGAACGTAATCAAATCATAGCGGAAGAGGTCGATAGGCTGCTTGATGCGGGATTTATCAGAGAAGTGCACTACCCTGATTGGTTGTCCAACGTCGTTGTCGTGCAGAAGAAGAATGGGAAATGGCGAGTATGCATTGATTTCACCAATTTGAACAAAGCCTGTCCGAAGGACAGCTTCCCGCTGCCTAAGATTGATCAAATGGTGGATACCACCACCGGGTATGAGCGTTTAACCTTTCTGGACGCTTATTCAGGTTATAATCAGATCCCTATGGACCCCGCAGATGAAGAAAAAACTTCTTTTGTCACCGAGCGAGGAACATACTGCTACAAAGTTATGCCTTTCGGACTAAAGAATGCGGGAGCAACTTATCAAAGACTTGTTAGCAAAATTTTTAAGAATCAAATGGGTAAGATTGTGGAAGCCTATATTGATGATATGGTGGTAAAGAGTAGGAAGAAGGATGATCATCTGAAGCATCTGCAAGATGTATTTGATGTACTGAAGCGATATGGGATGAGGCTCAATCCAACCAAGTGCTCGTTCGGTGTGAGTTCCGGACAGTTTCTGGGACACGTGGTCAATCGTAGAGGCATCGAAGTTAGCCCCGTTTAAGCAGAGGCTTTGATTAAGAATGCCGAGCCAAAGACGATCAGAGATGTGCAAGCCCTCACAGGACGAATAGCTGCATTAAGTCGATTTATTTCAAAATTGTCAGATCACTGCAAACCGTTCTTTGACACGATTCGGAGCCATGGAAGGCAGGTCTGGGGGGATGAGCAACGACAAGCATTGACTCATTTGAAGGAATATATGCAGAATCCACCAGTCCTATCAGCCCCAGATCCGGAAGAAAAGTTATTTCTATATCTTGGAGTATCTGGTGTCGCGACAAGTGCCGTTCTGATTCGTTGCAAGGAAGGGGTGCAATACCCGGTATTTTATGTAAGCAAAACACTGACAGATGCAGAAAAAAGATACTCAAAGGCCGAACGGGTGGTACTTGCACTTGTAAATGCAAAAAGAAAGTTGAGGCATTATTTCGAATCCCACCCCATAGCTGTTCTAACAACTTTCCCAATCAGAACGCTTATGCACAAGCCAGAGCTCTCGGGCAGAATGACAAAGTGGGCCATAGAGTTGAGTTCATTTGACATAACGTATGAGCCGAGAATAGCTCTTAAAGGGCAAGCGGTGGCCGATTTCCTGCTAGAATGTGATGCCGAAGATACGGAAGAAGACCTTAGATGCGGCTCTTGGAAACTTTTTGTGGATGGCTCCTCTAACCAGATGGGGGCTGGAATTGGGATCAAACTGCAAACCCCAGAGGGTACTTCCTTGAGCCAAGCACTCAGACTTGAGTTCCGAGCCACCAATAATGAAGCGGAATACGAGGCGTTGCTAAATGGATTAAAGTTGGCCAGAGAGCTACAGATCAAAAGTTTGACTGTGTATAGTGACTCGCAGCTGATTGTTCGGCAGGTAAATGGTGAGTACGCGACCAAGGATGACACGATGGGGGCATATCGTTCTGCCGTTCTGCATAAAGCCAAGGACTTTACAAAGATTGAATTCATACAGCTGCCGAGGGAACAGAATGCAGATGCGGACCGGTTAGCATGTAGTGCTTCGAGTTGCGGTGAAACATTGGCGAGGGTGATTCCAGTAGGAATACTGACCCAGCCATCTATTTTCGAAGAACCCTTGGACTCTGACCCTTGGCAAGTCAACGTCATACCGTATGAACCGAGTTAGATTGACCCCATCATTACCTATGTTCGAGATGGCATTTTGCCTATACAGAAGGATGAAGCTAGGAGACTCAAAAAGAATGCTGCAAAGTACGCCATCGTGCGTAGCCAGCTGTACAGAAGGTCCTACTCTGGCCCATACTTGAAGTGTGTCACCCCCGCGGAGGCGCAGCAGGTATTGCGAGCTATTCATGAGGGTGTGTGTGGCAATCATTCTGGGGGGCGATCGTTAGCGCATAAAGCAATGACACAAGGGTATTTCTGGCCAAACATGTCAAGAGATGCGGAGGAGTTCTCTCGAAGGTGCGATAAATGCCAACGATATGGACCATTGATCCACCAACCACCTGAGGAATTGCACGTAATGGCCTCGCCATGGCCTTTCGCGCAATGGGGGATGGATGTGGTCGGTCCTCTGCCAACTGCAAGAGCTCAGAACAAGTATGTGTTACTGGCCACGGATTACTTCACTAAATGGGTGGAAGCAGAACCATATCCTAGCGTGACTCAGACTCATGTGAGACGATTTATTTGGAACAATATTATCTGCCGTTTCGGTGTTCCCAGATCAATAGTCATGGACAATGGCACAAACCTCGACAGCAGGCAAGTAAGAAAGCTGCTGGAGGAGTATGGAATCAACCAGAAGTTGGCTGCAGTAAGTCATCCTCAGGCCAACGGACAAGCAGAAATCACAAACAGAACCATTTTCGCCTGCATTAAGAAGAAGCTGGAAGATCATAAAGGGAAGTGGTTGGATGAACTCCCGAACGTTCTATGGGCTTACAGAACCACCCCAAGGCGGCCGACTGGGGAGAGCCCGTTTGCAATGGCGTATGGTACCGAGGCAGTTATACCTGTTGAGCATTTGGTCCCCACTATCAGAAGCTTAGCATGGAGTCGAGATCAGAACGACAAGATGTT